AAAGAAGGCTTCTCAAATTCATTATTCCCGCTTAAATTTCCGATGGTTATGAAATTTGAGAAGGTGGTGTCTAAAGTCAATTAAATAATTCATATTTTTGTAAGGTAAAGCGCTTTATCTTAAAAACTCACTTCTCGATGTAACCACATCCTAGTTGGTATCAGTTCTCCAACATAAACTTGACAGTTTTGAAATTCATTGTCCAACACAAGCAGCCAAACCATGACAAATGCAAAACGGTGAGTTCATACAGACACTTGTAATCTCTACCTCACAGCAACTTAAACAAGTCCACTTGCATCAACTAAAAGTAAGAAGACTGGTGCCAGTCCTGTTTCTGTGTACGAAGCATGTGATGTTTCAACAAACTCAACTTTGTGAAACTGAAAAACTTCACATCAACTAATCTATTTATTGTTCATATTTGCACATAAATTTATGAACGGGCAGTTTAACCGACCTCCAGCATAAAGTCATATGTATATGCACGCCCAGTTTCAATATTGTGTTATAAGGCTTTTCAGTCCCAGTACAAAGGATACACGGCAGGCTAAGTCTAACTAATGTAAACTGTTCTGTCTTCTTTGTACCCAGTAATCGAACCTCATATGAACTGCTGTCACATGAATACCTGGCTCCATGGTCATTTGGATGTGGAGATTTGGAACAAAAGCCCACTGCCATGCTCATGATTGAGAATAATATGTCTACAAATACCACAACAAGGATGGAATTTGCAATGAAATGAGCTGTAATTTGACACTACACCTTCTAGAACTAGTAAGCTAGGCTGTCAGCTTGGATGGGGAGTAAGATAAATGGAGTCATAACAGGGTACAATACCCAGTCGCTTTGCAATCATTACACGGAATATTGACTGATTTATGACAAACGACCGTCCTCTGCCCCCCACGTCAGTCGAGTTTGTATACACTTATATACACTTCTACTTTCATATAACAAATCTCCCAGCCTGCTAATGCTCTTTTGAACACTGAGATTACAAGTGATTACAAACGAATGAAAGGTGTTGGATCTGTCGCCCTGGCAGACGGCAAGATGACAGAATTACCCTGCAGATCTTGAGAGCGTGGATATGTCATATCTCCAACACCTCGCCTTGCTGATTCAAAACACGCCTCCACACCAATCCAACATGTAAGGCAGTTTTGTTTTCTCATAAAATACTTTTGTTTCTGGTATCAAACAGATTAATGGTCTCATGACACAGAAACTTACATCCCATCATGACATACCAAGAATCTAAATAGTTGTATTTTAATGATAGACCCACTTGTTGAGTCCTATGAATGTCCTTGTTGAGACGTAGGCTACCACTTATCATGTTATCCTCTGTTTATAATGACAATGATAGCAAATATAAATAAGTGAACAGCCTTTCTGTGAAGCATTTCCATAGAAACAATAGTCCTGCTATATGGCGGCAGGAAAAACATGGGAAATGTGCTTCATATTGTACTCACATGGGAATCAAATCCAGGTTTGAAATGTCAATGACTTCACCATTTTAACCATTAGGCTATAAATTGATATTGATATCATCAATTTCACAATAACCAGGGGTGGAAATAACTTTATAATTGCTAGTGTACTCTGGTACAGTGGCACATGTAAAATCACTTGCCCTGATAATTTTTCCACTATACCGGACGTTTTCTTGTTGATTTTTTAAAATAAACAACATAATTAACGTTGGAAAGTAAACTGGACACCGGTACAGTGTGATATACAAATTTGCTTGCCCAACAGAAAAATCACTGGACTCGGACGTCGGGCAATGGCTTATTTCCACCCCTGATAACTATATGTTACATTGTAATAATCACAGATCCAACACTTATTACAAAACAATGGCTTACGGTCTAATGTCCCAAAACACAAGAAGTTCAGTTTGAGGTTTGTTTTGCCTGACAGTAGACATCACATTAAGCTCACCACTTTTTCATATCTAATAACCTATTGTTTTAATTTGATATTTTGTTTATCTTCGTGGATCCACAGCTGACATCATAGCTGTTGGAGACGTGGCTACAGAGGATCACTGCCCTGAGGTAGATAATACTGCACCAATATCATTACAGCAGGGTTGGTTTACTTTCTCTTAATTCAACCAACGAAAACATGCATTAAATCAAGGGCAGGATAAAGCTTAGCTGTTGCTCTTGACGCATTCCTTACACTTTCTTGTAGGGGAGACATGTTTGCCTCAATTGAAGTCCAACCATGACCTGAATTGTTTTGCCAAAAAACTTCACACAGCGTTTAACTTTAACCATGTTAACAGGCAAAAATCAGCCAATTCAGGCACCAAGGACTTAACCAGGAAATAAAACTATGTGCCACATGTCTGGTGATTTGGAAAAATATCTGTATTGTACTGACAATTGCAGTAGACTTGGTAATGAATATCAGTTTTCTAGTAGGTCGAGAAACCCTGGGCATCCATGCATCTCAGAAGTCAAGAAAGAATTCAATACCATATTAACTGAGTTTGAATCTGAGCGTCTTAATTGGTTCTGTCCTGTACAAAAGTAAAATTGACAAAATTACAAAAGTAAAGGAACAACCCATAAATGCAAACACTGCTTTACTTTCAGTACCCAGCCTACTTTGATTCGAAGTGTTTCGTTTTCCTATACTGATTTGGTTTATGCTACCAAACACTGTTCACCTTCAACAACTGCATTTCTGATGTTTGAGTCAGTCTATCACAAGGTGTGATTCATTCCAATACAAGTCAGTGTCTGAAAGGGATCTCAATTCCCCAAATTGTAGAAACAATAAACAAGTTATGTGTGAAATGTCATCTTGACACATCCGAAATTCATATTTAGCTGATATACACAAAATCGCAACTGACGACTAGTTTAAGTGGTTTCCTTACACTAGTTCTATGGATCTTTTTACAGGTTAATACCTATCAATAGTTGGAAATCTTTTAAAAAGAAATTCAATTTTTTCTCCAATTTGTCCAAATACAGGTTTGCTGTTCCATGAAATTTAAAATGGCGGAGAGCCTGCAACACAGTTATTAATAGGTTGCTAAACAATGCAAACTTGACAAAGTGAACAGAAATTCTGTTTTGCATTAATGCCTCCCATTAAATATACTTTTTCAAAATCGTAATGCTATATTTATTATAACACAATTGATATACAACACAATTTTTAAACCGCCACAAATATATATCCCTCATATGTTTTTCAAATTCATGACAAACAGAAGAGGGCTTCCTTGTACCAACCAACGTGGGGTCATAAACCAAAACGTCTTGCAATTGAACATTCCTATATGAGAGGAAATTAAGACGGCAACAGAAGTGCCTTGTGCTTTTGCCAGTTCCTTGACAAATAGATTCTGGTTTGAAAAACATGTCACCTTGACCTGTAAGTACATCTGTCCGGAGAGTGATAAAAATGTGAATCAGCAAAGAGAACTGGAGTAACCTCCCTTTCTTCATACAGTGGAGCATATGATAGCTCAGTTTTGACAGGAAGATGCCAGGGCATAGATGTTTACATGACATCACTGGTTGAAATAATCCTTGCAACAACATGGAGTTTCTTAACATTTCTACATGAAAATATCTTTTGTATTACAAATATAGATGCACTGACAGTGGGTCCTTGTTTCGGTAACATTTTTGTGCACATTAGTGAAACGCCTTCTCAGCTTTTGAAAAGAAAGAAAGCACAAACTCTGAAACTTTTTACATTCAACAGAATTTACAGTCAGCAGATCCACAAAACACTTTGAAAAGTAAGAGAATAGCTTAAAATATATATCTGGATGAAGCTGCACTTATTCTTCCTCAAATAGACATTCTCAAACACATTCTACTACTGACAACCACTTGATCTGAGGACAACAAAATTGTTTGGAGATCCTTCAAAATATATCCCCTATTTAAGTTATATTTACCAAATCTTTACGAAAACATTAAGAGTACTAATGAACACTTGAACCAGTAATTAATGAATGCAAGCATGAACCTGAATCAACAGGAACAACTGACAAGAATGCCACGTCAAATCATACCCTGGGATGAGGTCACATATTTTCTCCTAGTGCCATGGCATGTGAATTAAGCACTATTTCTGTAGCAGGAATATACATTTCTTATCGACATTATCAACATATGAATTAATATGTCAATACATTCTTTCCAATTAAAGATACCCTACTGAAGTAGGTATGAATGTTAACAGTTATCGCAACCCAACCAGCCAGAATAATCCAAGGGGGGAAACTCTTGCAAAGTTTTAGAAGTAGCTGTGTGAAGCCCCACTAAAATAATACATAGGCTAACCTGTCACACATATTGAACACTTCAATGAATGCAGTTAACAAGTGTTTTATGATCAATTTTACAAAGTTAAGTGACACCATCCACAATCAGAGCTATATGATGTCAACTGAGTGAGCACATTCCTTTCACTTTGTCTCAGATGACTAACGAAACTTTAAAGTGTCACTTCCAGCCAATTTGATTTGACAGGCAACAGCACAGAAGCACAAGAGTAAATCTCGCTCCTCACAATGAGGGTCTTCAACAGGATTCTACACCACGACATACTGATCACCAGATGACCATGTGTGTCTGTGCAGTGTGACATTGTCACAACAAACTGTAACTAGTCTTTACTGTTTCACTGTTGAACTCAAGGACAACTGTATTGAAATATGGGAATGTATTTTGCAAAGACTCTTTCTAAGCCTATTGATGCACCATAGTCCATTCTGCCTTTCATACAGTCTTGGAACGGCATTTAGAGTGATACACATAAAGACAAGGGTTTATGGATGTTGAGAAACATGACGTTTCTGAGAATATTTGTATTCCTTCAATTGATGAAGGAGTAAGAATATACTCTGAAACATTGTGTTCCTCAAACTAAAGAAGTCGACACCCATAAACTTTCACCAAACAGTGTTGTTTGAAAATTACGCAGCAAGAATTTGTTGAGTGACAACTTACCTTCCTTGCCAATGCAAATCCTTCAGAATAGCGTCTAGGATCCTCATCTGCAAGGCCGAGAGCTTTGTCTCTGTTCAGTCGTGAGATGATTCCACGGACAAATGGATCATCTTCCTCCTCGGAATCATCATCTTCTTCATCGCCATGGAAGTACGGGATGGGAGGCGCTGAAGGGGATCGGCCAGTGTGTTTGGCCACTGCACCAAATGCTCGCGGGCTCAGTTTCCCAGCAGCAAGATCTACAGCCTCAACCTTCTCACTCTTAATGAAGTTTAACTGAGCAAATGGAGCAGACACTGGTCGTGGGGCTGTAAACCCATTCCTGCCCAGAAAACAGTCCCGCGAGTCTTGTGACTCCGTATCACTGCTTAGATTCTGTTCACTGGCATGTCTTTGTCTAGCTTGAAGTAATTTATGCATGCTCATACGCAATGTCTCTGCACTATTTTGTCTCTCAAGGTCATCTGATGACCTTGCTTTCCAGATTGAGATCGGATCAGGCATTGCACGTGGATTAAGTTTACTACCCTGCCAACACTCCTCACTGCTGGTCGAAGTGTTCATTCCACGCCGAATCTCCATGGCCGACTGAGGTCGGGAGAAATTGTGTCTGGGTGTGGGCATGGAGTTCACATCAGGAGAGAGATGATGAAGGGCACGACTCGAGCTTGATCGTGTTGGGTTTCCAGAAGCCTCCGCTACTTCCTGATTCTGAGCAACTTCTACTGGCATGTCCACAACAAACACACGTTCATTCACTTTGTCCTCGCGGCCAAAACCCAGACCACTGTCACTATTGCTGCTGTTGCTGCTACTGCGCTGGACGGCCTGAACTGGGTCAGCAAGAGCTTGAGACTGGACAATATCATTCTCATACACACCACGAGGACGGTCCTTGTACAGATTGGCTACAGATAATATTATAGGAGTTGCAGAACGGGGGAACTCCAGACATCTTTGAGTTTCAGGATCTACAGTACATTGTATATTGAAAGCTTTGGCTTTTTGAACATGACTATTATGAGATCTTAGCTCTGGGTCCACCATAAAGATATGACATGAGCTGGCACTTGGTGCATCATCCCGCTGCACACTCATCTCGCTCATATCATCACCTGGGGCGTGAAGCGTCACAATTCCAAAGAACCGTTTATCGTCTGGACAGACACCACTGAATGCTAGTCTGTCGACTGGGTAATGGGCTATACTGGCTCCCATTGCGTTTGTTAACTTAACACCCTCAGAGTCTACATCCATAAGAACAAGAGTGTGAATCTTCTGTTCGATGCGAAGTCTTCGCACTGCATTTCTTAAAGACTGAATCCTTTGGTGGGGTCTACTAGAGTTGCTTGGCATCTCGATTGAGCCAATGTATCCCACAATAGCCTTGATGTCGCCAGCAGGGGGCTGCATATCAAAGCTATCATCATCCTCAGGATACCCCGGACTTGCAGGTACAGCAGCAGCAGCCTCTGCTCCCTCCGCCTGCTGTTCCCGTGGCAACTGTCCTTGGTCGGACATTCCTGAGCTGGATAGGCCATGGGAGGACACGATGCCAGATGTTGGGAACATGCCCTGGAACCCTGAGATATTCTGAGAATGAAGTTCTTGAAACTGGACAGATCCTGTAGAAGTTATTGTAGCATTCTCCATGCCATTTAAACTTGACTTTGATGTCTGTGGGCAAGAAGTTAAGGATGATTTTGAGCTTCGTTGGGGAGGTGGCGGCTTTGAATTCTTATGCAAGCTTGTGCGGGAGCCATGCCCATATTGTATATTTGATCTTGAGTCTTGTTGAAGATTTGATTTTGAGTCTCTCAGTTGCTTCAAACTGGCCCTGGATTCTTGCCTATGGGAGTTTTTGTCAGCAGACACATACTGGTGAAACGCAGATTGGTCCGAGGAATATAGTCTTTCATGAGATACCCCATCAGTGAGGGATGAGTTCTGCGAGGTCTCAGACTCACCACCTATCACCTGCCTATGTCTTGATTTCAAGTTATCTCCCCTTACATCTGCCCCTCTGTGGGGTCTGCCATTGAGATCAGAATTGGAATGTTTATCCCTCATATTTCTTTCACAACCTTGACGAGGACGTATACGATTTGGGTATCTTGACTTTGTACGTGGCTGGGTAATCATCATCCGAGGAATCGGAGCTGTTGTAGTTCTCCGCCACCTGCAGTTCGAGAGTTCCAGTAGACAAGCCAACCATACGCACCACATCATCGTGGCTGTAGCGGGACACATTTTCGGCGTTCACAGACACTAGATAGTCCCCTGGTTTCAGTCCTGCCTGTTCTGCAGGACTGCCAGACACAATACAGCTAAGGACACAGGGGTGCTGCCCGGAGATCGTGAAGCCATAGCCTGACCTGCCTCTGGTCACTGCCACCGTCTTTACGCCATGGATCGGCCGTTTCTTTCTTCTACGAGGCTGATGCATTCCGGACAATCCTAAAACAGACACAGAAGGCATTAAATCAATGGTGTATTACAATCACAAAACAGTTGGTGGCTTGAGCATATTAAGCAACTAATCTGAATTCAATGGCAAGAAAAACATGCTCAGTCAAGAAGTTCACCTAAGAATACATTATTTCTCAGACGATTATATACATTTTCAAATAATAATATGAATAGTGGTGAGGGAGGCTTTCGCTATTTTTCATAATTACATCATATTTTCACTACTGGTGCATCACCATACCATCAGATCAATATCATATTGTCCAGATTGTGCTGTATTCAACCACAAATGTCATATCTTCTGTATAAATGTCATTGTGATTCACATCTCCATATAATTAATCATTCAAAGTTTTGAATTACAATCTTGTGTCGTAGTTGAAGATATATATATTACTTCAAGACACAAAATATAACTGTGCATTCATCTTTTGACTTCCATGAAGAATGACTAACATGGGAACACGGTTTTGCAATTTAGTTGGACAGCCCTGCTCAACTGCTGTCACTGTTTCATACTTAGTCTTAATGGATTTTACTGTTAATTTATGTTTTTTAGGTGTAGGAACAATTCAGATATCATCCCTGAAAAACTGAGTCCTTTGTGGATAGCTCAGTTATCTACTGATTCATTTCGGTGGCTATCTGTCAGTTTTCACACCAGTGAATCATCCATGGAAATCCTAAATCATGACACATCTTACAGTTTGTAATAACAAGATATACATGTGATAATTACACAACTCCATTTACTTCAGCACTTGGCACTGATCAAACAAGGTGTTAATTCCTGATAGACACATCAATGAAATGTTCTATAAAGTTAGATCTGACTGATTGTCACCAACAAAGCAATAGTCTTTTAACATGACATTGAAAATGTAGGAGATATGTCCTGATTATTGTGCCTTGTTGATTGAACTTTGAAGACCAACTGACAAGTCACATCAGGACATGCAGGAAATACAAGCTTGGGACTGGAAAATACTTTCAAACCAACCATAAGTACTACCCATACCACTTCTGGCAAATTTCCAATTTAAAAATTCATACAACTTTAATTTGGCAACCTTAACACCCCTTCATGTTGCCATATCTTTCGGTTAAATCATCCCTCCTTCAACCAAACCCTAAAAAGTCTGGCGGGCATGTGTGCGAAATACACACTATGTCGGAAAGTGCATGTTTAATGTCCAAATCAATCATCATCTTTAACACATCAGAAACAACACACTGGAGATTCCATAATGATGAAGTATGCAGGGACCAAGCTTTCACTTCGACACAATTGTCGTAGGAACACATTTGCCCACAGGAACTCTGCCCGCCAGAATTTTTAACAGGGAAGGACCTTTGCCCACAATATAAATTTGTGCCCACCACAAAGACATTTTTCTGTATGTGAGACAAATCAAAGAGTAATTTCTTTTAATACCTGTTAAGAGATTTAGTTTAGTATACTTTCAAAGAGATCAAACATTAATTGCACTTCACCAAAGCTTCTCTGCTGCTTTGTATTTCTCTTTCTAATTGCAATTAATACTCACCTTACTACTCATGACATATTGTTTTAATAGAGATCAAACATTAATTGCACTTCACCAAAGCTTCTCTGCTGCTTTGCATTTCTAAAATTTGGTTGTCAATTACTTATTTGGTACTTATTTTATGTGGTGTTGTATGATTATGGTGGGCAAAATTCCTCCCCTGTAAAAATTGTGGTGGGCAGAATTATTGTGGCCAAAGTTCTGTACACCAGAGGAATGGTGTTCAATTTTTTAAAGCACCAGCACAAACATGTATTTTCTTCATGAAACTTAAATGATGAATTACAAGCCAGATAGGCATTGTGATTTGAAGGTTGTGACGAAAATAACACTTGAACATTGCAAAATCCATGACACCTCAACAAAGGTTTTCTTCATTGTGTCCTTATATGACTGAGCTTGGTGAATAATGAATTAAAATGTTTTACTGAACTGATGTATTTACATCTAACATACAATGGAAGGTTAACTCTTTTTAAATTTTAGTGAATTTACATAACTGCATTGTTGAACCCTTTCACATCAACAGGCAAGATAGTATTATTCATATTCTGAAGGAAATGGTAAAAAAGTAAAATCATAACAAAAGTGATTGAATACATATCAACAGATTGTCCACACATCACAGCAGTTTTGTGGCTTTGAACACCTTCAGGCCCCTTCGTGCGACCTCACGGGATTGTTTGAGTACAGAAATCATGTACAGCCATGTCTGATATCTTCCGGTCCTCTCTGATTAACACGGTAAACTTTCTGCTCTTGTTTCAGATTTCAACATGCCTAGAGCTAAGAAATGCACGATGAAGAAATATCACACGAACATCGAACGAATTCCTATATCCGATCACTGGTACCGATTAGCATATACTATTTTCTTTCAAATATAAACATGAAACGGAAAGTGACGTACAAACAAACGGTGTTGATTTCACAGACAGGTAGATGTGGCTTCGCGTACCTGTCGCCCAAATGAACACTTTCTTACCGATCTAATTTCAGACTTGTAATTCCTCGGTGGTTCTTGGCATATCAACCATATGTCAGGCTGTTATATTTGGTAGATGTTTCATATTGGTGAAACAAATATTGGAAGACCCCTCGAGGTATTATTTGTTTTCAGCGGTTCAAGATGGACGACCGTTTGATGTCAGTGATGGTACGGACAATCTGATTGGTTCATTTCCTGTGACGTCATAACGCACCAAATTCAGATAGCAGGTGCCCGTTGTCTTTCAAATGGAAAATACAGATGTGCACGTACGGTATGATTATAAATAGACATAGTTACATATGTAGGATAATTTATGCACGTTTGATTTTAAAGTAAATATACTGACGTCTGACAACAACCACCGGCTGTTTTCCGTGCTTAGATATCGAATAAACGATATATCAACAGCATGTTCGTATGCATTGAATGGTAAGATTAATACAACCGAACGGCGATAAACATGTTTTTATTATGATATCGATACCTAGTATATTCACCGATACACTTACATTGAAGAACTGAATGCAATAAAATCATGAAAATGCACAAAAACACTCTTGCTGAATGAACAATGACAACATTATCCTACCGCTAAATGGTGTTTTTGTGTATCAAAATTGTTATGACAATTATACTTTACAAAGCTGATGCCGACATGTATGCCTGTAATTATAATTTCATGTTTTACCGTATCCTCGATTAGATCACTAAAACAGAAAAGTTGTTTAATTGTCGACAAAATATTCGTACTGCGTCCGTTTATCAAACAGAAATCCTTCCATAGCTAAACTAGAGAGACAATTCAAGTTATAGACAGGTTCTCCTGTGCTGGCTAATTGCCAGCGAAGAACATATTTTACGTGCGACTTCTGAGATAGAGAGTTACGTCCCTTTGACCCTGTACCGGCTATCTGTACACACTACATGAACAAAGGTATCATTGAATCGTTTTCTATATTCCACATTTGGGAGTTCAAACACAATTTACATGTCAGAGAGTATGTTAGATGGCAACATCGGCAGAACTCAAGTTACTCTAACCAAATTAGCTGTTTTGTCCGACTGGTAGATACAACATAACGGTTAATGTGTGATATCTTTAGGCTGTCAACTACTCTGTGTAAAGGTAAACGCTGGTTTTAAAAAATACGAAGTATAATATTCTGATCTTTATCTGGAAATTAGAGTTGTCTGTTCCTAAAATATTCGATACACTGGAGTCTCGTATCGTATTAGGTACACCGTAATATATCGTGCACGTGAAGGTAAATCGCCTTGACATCTGTTACATCTATGGATGTGAAATGAAGTCTAGTGAAAGGGTTATGGCAATATGGGTTAACAGTGTAAGACTAACGAAATGAGCAACAAAAATATCTAAATTTCAACGTTACTGGTATAACGAACCTAATTCATCAATACAACTAGGTTTTAGTATGTATATATTGTATGTACCATTGACATAACGAACAGATTTTACAGGCAAGATTAACACGAATATTTTCAAGACTATTCATATAACGAACCTGAGTGAACGGTACTTCAGTGTTTGTTTTTTTCTTCTTACAGATATAACGGACACATTTCCACGGTATCTAGACGTTCGACACAACCATGTTTCCTGACAAGATACATATCTAACTACGGATATAGAAGTGAGAGCCACCGTCTAGGTTGGTTGCAGTTCTGTTTTACTGTCAGACAACATGGCTAACATGAGACAACGCAGTGACACGTCTGGGTAATCCCAACTGATGTCGACATGCTTGTAGTCCGACATGCATCTGTTGACTCGAACTGCGCTCGCCAGGGTTACCGAGGAAACGCGGGAACTAAACACACACAACAGCAAACATCAAAACAGAAGTTTAGAGATATCTTGTCTTTTCTTTATCTGCATCCTCCCAGAACATTCCCTGGACAAACTGTTCACGCTGGGGTGTAGAAAATAGCTGCAGTCAATATTGACCTGCTTGGAATGGAGATAGGGTCAGTTGTCTCCAAACAGTGGAACGGGCTAATCGGACTGACTGGCGGATCAAGACAATGTTTGACATATTTTTGGTGAAAATTTGGAGATGGCGACTTTATCAAAAACAATCCCATCAACAATGCATTGTATATGGAAGACTCCATAGGAATGCTTGGTGTGCATTTATCTTTTTCTGGCTCTATATGTACATCCAGGACCTACTGTTACAGATATCTCCCTTGAAAGTTTGTTTCATGATCGTTTCAATGTTAGGACAGTGCATGACGAGATGTCGCTGTACACAAACTAGCTTCATCTGTTTAACTATATACCTTACACACATACCATAAATATTTGTATACTTTACTTCTCTCTCAGCATGTTTACATCTTCCTTTAAAAACAGTGAAGAAATACTTGCCCCCTAACCAAACACCAAACCGTCCCTTAAATAGTAATGATATAAAACCTCGAAAACT